GGGGAGAAAAAAAAACCCCCGCCAGTTTAACAGAAACATTTCTGCTCTGAACTGAAAGAAAAAACCCTGAGTAGAAGCTCACATCAAGACAACAGCACCTCGGTTCACAGTAGCATCGCTCTGCTAACAGCACATTTGAGCTACTCACCCCCTCCCTTCCTGTGCTGAATTGTAGGCCCTTTCTCAAGTACGCGTGTATGTATGTATATATATCTATATAGAGATATAGATATAGATATCTAGATATATATATCTCTATATATCTATCTCTATATCTATCTCTATATCTATATATATCTATATCTATATATCTCTATATCTCTATATATCTATATCTCTATATATCTATATCTCTATCTATATATATCTATATATCTATATATATCACTCACACACTCTTCTTGGTTGGCAACCAATGTTAAGGCGCATTACCGCCCCCTGGCTGACAGCTCAGTGGACATCTAGATGAAAAAATATATATATTTGAGGAAAATACTAATAAAATAAAAAATAAAATAAATGTTCCCTTTAGAAATCTTAAATTTTTTTGCTCTATAAAAAGTTGTTTTTCAATAACTCATCTTAGCAGTAGGATTTACATGAAAAGAGAAACATTAAGTTTAAACGAAAATGTACATTTTTTGCACTCTGGGCAACTGACTCAGTGACTCAAAAAAACAGATTCATTTTGGTGAGTGACTCATTCAAACTCGATTCAGTAATAAGAATAATTTACTATACCTGGCCACTAAGGCCAGGGGCTGCGACACATTTATACAGCCGTATTTCGCATATGACTATGAAAGGCGGGAAAGGAAGTAGTTCCTTCCACTTTAGACAATCCGAATGATAGTTTCTTTCCACTGTGTTCCTGTTAATGACAAACTGCAAATTTATCCTAAAGTACTAAAATATCGCTTTTAATATGAGAATCGATTCTAGAACATAAATTACTGGTATCGGAAGAATTGATGTTTCAGCCCTGACTTTGTGTTAGACTAATCCTAAAGTAAAAATGGTATTTCTAGCCACTGACATAACAAAACTTTACCCTTTCAACAGCTACCGAAAGGCCTGTATGACCCTGTGGGATATTTATAAAAACATCCTCCAGGTTCAAAATTAAGAACAAGATTTGTTCTTGTAACTTTAAACTAGCACCCAAGTGAAGGGACTTGAGCGCAGAGTTTTACACGTAGTTTTTTTGCATGTGCAACCAGACCCCCCACACAAATACTCATCTACAGATACGCAAACAAAATGCAGATATTTTGGTTTACAAGGTTACAAAACCCAGTTCACAAATACACATTTGATTTACAAGTACAAATTATTTATGACCACAATTTGAGCCCATAGGCACAGCACCAATTTAAAATATTTATAAAGTAATGAAAATTCTCAACTTACCCATGCCTAGGAAGCCTGGAAAGGGATTATAAGGCAAGGGCATGGGCCACTGGTATTGGAGGAACGGGGGTAGAGGTGGAGCATGAACATAAAAGAGAGGTCTAGGAAAGACTGGGTGTTGAGGATGAGATGGTCCAGGATCTTGGCTGGTGCTGTGTAGTCCTGGATCCTGCTGTGCAGAGTTTGCAACGTCAGCGTTAACTCGAACGTGTGGGTTCGCTCCACTTGGCCCTTCAGGAGCCAGAGGAGGCGTGTTAACCACTGCTGCCATGTTCAGTCAACCTACATGGAAGGGGTGTCAGTTATGAATCTATGTTGTATTAATAGGAACAGTTTTTTTAAAAAAAAAAGACATTTACTACCTGTAGGACAAATCTTAGAGACATTACACACTGGGAATGAAGGTCATTATTCTTCATTCAGCAACATACAGAAACATGACCACATGCAAGGAGAGAGTAGATAACCTGGTTTGGAAAGAGAGAAACCTGCACCATCATCTTTCAACCCAGTGGGATCTATGGCAGATTTGATATGGCCCAAAGCCTTACTATGGCACCAAGTCTTCATTTAGTTTGAAGCTGTGTGTTTGTAAAACTTGTACACCATTGTCAATTTAACATTTCTGCAAGGAGCAGCATCAGGTTTAAGTGTTCAGAAGGTTAACAGTTCAAGAAATACATTAGGTTGGCTTGACAGTAGTGTTCATACACCAGCTGATTTCATGAAAAGAAAAAGAAGGGCTATAGTGTAAGATTAAGGACCCACAATGGGATGATCAACCAAAAACGAACACATTTGCAAAGATAAACAGCATTTTCTATCCAAGCCTAACCAAGAGAATAAATGAGTCAGAAACAGAAAACCAAAAGGACTGAACCTTGAAACCAGCAGATGGAAAAAGCTCATCAGTCATTGTGATACTAGCACCATTCAAAAATCTGGCTTTGATACATTTTTTAAAAATATAATAAAATATACATATATATATATCAATTTACCTTGTCAAGGACCTGAATGGTTAACTGACAGAGCAAACACAAATGAAATACAAGTGGGGATCAACACCTGATCTTAAGTAGCTCCTGATTAGACACATGTGTCTACTGTGTGCTGATTTGGAGTTTGCAGCAGGTCTTTAACACTAAGATGTCTTGTTGGACTGACATCTAAACACTAGATGGAGCCAAACTTCAGTCAAATGATGAAGCTAATGAGGCTGTTCTGGCAGATATATAGATTTCAGTCTTCTATAAAACATTTGCTACAATTACATCTGCACACTTTTTTGCACTGAAGTATCAGAAAACTAACCTGTGCTCATATAAACCATTTCATCATATACTAACTTGGTGGCAAAAGCCCAAAGTATGATACTGGGACATCGGTTGCACACAGTCCAAAAGTAGCCACCAAAGTGATATTCTACCCCTTAAAATGATAAAGAAATT